TTATATTTTATTATAATATCATAAAATATTAATGATTATATTTATTTTATGATCTAATACTTATTATGATATGTATTATTTTGGTTAATCTTGTTTCCGAACCGGATGTGTAGCCATATTGGAGGTGGCAGAACACATCCGGCTCGGACCATATAAGGTAATGATACTTTAATTAGCTTTTCATGTGTAGGGAATTATGCAATTAAATCTGTAACACTACTCCCTATATAAACAATAGTATATCCATTGTAGCTTTGAACAGCACCTGAGGAAGACCACTAGCAGATGGTTGAAACGCGTTGTGCAATACTTTTATTATTTTTGTTTTATTATAAATAAATATTTTATCCTGATACTCCTGGCTCCTGGCTCCTGACTCCTGCTTTACTACAGAGGACTATTAAGATCAATGGAGAACCTGCCTGAAGAGTAAAGAAAATGTGTATGTCCCATTGAAGTGACATAAAAGCCATATAAGTTCCGAGCCTACTTTAAACGGCTCATCAAAGTGTGAGTGTTTCTAACTCAGAATTTCCATTTTTATCGTGTACGATATACAGATTACACTATGTTTTGTTTTATGTTTATATTTTCTGTATAGGCAATCCAATATTCAATACACTAACTGTATATAAGGAGGAGATACCTACTATTTATTATACGTCAGGTAAACTACCTCTTTGGTGTGTGTGTGCGCTTTTACCTTTTTTATGTTTTATTGTATCTTCTTTAAGTATATATAGTGGTGATATACTTGGGTATAGCAGCACCGGTCACTTATTTCATCCTCGAGCGCCACTTCTATATTTCTTTGTTATAAAACAAAACATAGTGTAAAACTGTTAGATACAATGATAAAGGATAAGGTGATTAATGCACTCACAAGTGGTCCGCCACTAACAGTGGCCAGAAAGGTACATCAATAGGTCAAAGACCTGCCACCAAGGGACTCCAATATGTTCTGAGTCAGCTCCTGAATGCACCTAGGTTCTGGATCACAAGGGGTAATAAAGGAGTGAGTTCTGGATAAGGATGTCCCAAATAGAGAGTTATGGAGGGTTCTTATGCATCCAACCGGTTTTGTCCTCAGGACTTTTTCAAGGAAGAGCTCATTCCGGCATGTGTGTTCGTTGCTATGCAGGCAGTATTCTGCAAAACATTTTTTTTTTATTCTGTGAAAAAACTATAAGGATTTGATCATGCAAAAAATAAAGCATAACAATGAGGCCAAAACTTATCAAATGCATTAACGTTATATTAGTGCTCGGAGTGTCCCTGTAAATTTTCTGTGGTACAGCAGATTGCGTATTTTAATTATTGTAATGGCTTAATGCTTCTGTTTGCTGCTGTAATTAAGATGAAGGACAGGAACCTCAAGAAAATCAATTTGTCACAGAGAATGAGTTGAAAATGTCGAACTTGATCTACTGGTAAACATAATGTAATTACAATTGTTATGGTACTAAGGTAATCTTGTTCAATAGTTGTATGCAAGATAGACATATGGTATAATATATATATATATATATATATATATATATATATATATAAATATATATATATATATTTAAAAAACAAAAAAACACCTCTATAATTAAATAAGCTAGAATCCTACATACTACATACGAGGGGCTTAAGTGAAAAAGAGTGTGTGCTGTGTGTGTGTGTAACTGTGATTATATCTGTCTGCCTATGACTGCGCGTGTGTGTGTGTGACTGTCTGCCTGTGACTCTATGTGTGACCCTCAGGGCACTAGAGTGCCAGGAAAACGAGTATGTTTTTCTGGCACTATGACATTATGACACTATGAATAACATAGTCGTTATTCGGCTTGTGGCATATTTTACCCCCCAAAACCCGCCAATAAACACAGACACCGTATTTCTGTTGGAAATATAAAAGTCCACAGCTTTATTTTAATGTAATAGAAACAAGATAACAAATTGGGGTCATTGCCGCATAATAATAATTTACTACCATCCCCTTCCGCACATAATTACCCCTGGCAATGACCCCATACCATAAACAATATATAACAATATAAATAACACATATATATAACACACGGCCCTCCAAAGAGGCCCCATAGCCATAACTTCCTTAACTGTAAGGGTGTACCAAGACACCCCTACACCACCAGGTTCGAGCCACCGATGAGCTCGAACCAACAGACCACTTACCACTCTGGCCTAATCCAGCCTAACCTTAGCCTCGCCACTTGATACTCCTCTTCCATCCCAATTACCCAAGCCCTATCCCACCGCTGTGACCAAATGGGAAACTTTCAGACTAGGGAGGGTGGGAGGGACAATTTACAGGTTAGTGCAGATTCTGATTAAAATGGCCACTTGCTAAAATGGCTGCTTAATATACTCCTATCTACTCCACCCCTTTTACACCCCATTCCTAATACCCACCCCTAATTCTTTAACTCCACCTGCCTACTCCTTGGCTCTGTCAAGGCCCACTCCCCTGACTGCGCTGTTCCATGGGCTTCATAGTGGTCCTTTAAGTGTGTGTTGTGATTATGTGTGTTTATATATATATATACACACACACACACACATACATACACATATATACACAAATTCACAGATGTATACACACACACACACACAGAC